CCAGGACGGGGAGGGGGCAACACGACCGAAGTGCGGCTCCGTCCCGCGGGCGTCCGGCGCTTGGTGTCTGAAAAGACCTGGCCAGGGGGAAGGTGGGGGGGGGGGGGGACGGTGGGCAAGATCGCCAGCGGCGGGAGCACCAGGAGCTTATCAGCTGACCATCCTGTTCCCGGGTGACCCTACGTGCTTCCGAGAACGGCGTTCCATGCTGGCCACGGAGAGCAGTCCTACCCGTCTCCACACACGAGAGCCGGGCTGGAGGGCGCGCCCTTGTCGGGTGGTGAGGGCCTGGTTGGTTTGGGCGGCGGCGCGCGGCCGGCCGTTCTGAAGCCCCATCCGCCAGCCGCCCGTGTTTCCCCCCCCCCCCTCCACACGGTGAGAGGCAGATTGTCCCGGCATGCACGGCACGCACGGCACGCACGGCACGCGCGACCCCGCCGGCCACAGCAGCGAGGGCGCTGCCACTCACTCTGAGCCAGGGCACCAGGACCTGACGAAGCAACGATGTACCACCGCACTCTTGGACCGGGCCGATTCCCGCGGCTCAGAGTCTGCCAGAGAGTGGCCACCGCCGGGGCGGGGGGTGGGAGGGGGGAGACCACGCCGTCCGTGTTGCCAGGCCTGCTTCGCATTCGGACCGACGGCCAGAGGTGGGTCCGCCCTCAACCTGGGGGGTGTGCCACCCGCCTTCCGGGCCCTCGCCGCCACGCGCGGACGCCAAGATCAGCCCCACCCCCGCCGGGGGCCCATCGCCACATGCGGGCCGGGCTGTTTTTTCACCGGGCTGCCCAGCGCCCTCTCGCACCCGCAACCCCGCTAGCTCACCCCTGAAGCCCGCCCGCCCGCATCCCTCTCCGCCCGTAAGTCCCCGCCCCCCTCGCCCTCTCGCCGCCTCTCCCTTTCCCTCTCGGCCCGCCTCCGCTGCTCGTCAGCTGCATCGTCCTCTCGGCCTGGCATCCCCCTTCCCCGAGTTTGCTTCTTGCCCGCCAGCCTGCTGTGTCCGCCACACGGTCGACCTCCCCCGCTTCGGGGAGGGGGGAGGAGTATCTCGCCCCTGGGGGTGGTCGTGTTGGCGAGCATGCGCCACACAGCTGTGCCCGGATCGCTCTATTTCTCCCTTCTCTCCCAGCCTGCTCCCGCCCGTGCCTCTGACACCCTATGCCGTCTGTCCTTCTGCCGCGCCGTGCCATCGCCAGCGCGCTTGCCGGTCTTCTCGACTCCCCCCAAGCGACGACAATGATCGGTGCTGTCCGCCTCTCCGCCCGCGGTACGCGCATCTCCATGCCCCAATTGGCCCCCCCCCCCCCCCCGGGCCTGTCCTGCCCTCTGCTCCCTCTGGTCATCACGCCACGCCACGCCACTCACTGCCTCCGTACCTCGCCGCTTCCCCAACCAGCCCTTGGCGCCTCGGCTGCCCAGCTCTCTCGCCAGACGGCCGTGGCTGCTGCCATGCCCCGGGCCCACTACTCCGCCAACAACACTGAGCTGCCCTCCATCAGCCACCTCGAGTTCGATGGCCCCCGCTTCAGTACGTACATGCGCGCGCACACACACACACGCACACACACACACACACACACACCTCCCCCCCCCCCTCCAAGTGGTCTCGCCCCCCGGCTAACTCTTCCCACTGCCGCCCCCTCCGCATTCCCACCCATGTACAGCCGCCCAGATCCCGGAGTTCTTTGAGGCCCGCGCCGCGGCCTTCGCCGCGCGTATTGGCGTGGACTTCTCCGACAAGAAGACCCTGCACCAGGCTCTGATCCATCCCTCTTTCTCTCCCGGCCGCGGCAACTACAACGACCGCCTGTCGTACCTGGGCTACTCCCTGCTCCACGCCATCGTCACCGAGCACATCTACGTCACCTACCCCAACCTGCCGACCCATGCCATCTCCAACCTGGTCGACACCCACCTCAGCAACGAGTCCCTCTACCACCTGGGCAAGAGCCTCGGTCTGGACCAGCTGCTCCTCTGGAAGCCGGCCGTACGTGTGCCCTCCCGGCCTGCCTCCTTGGCTATGTCTGCTCTCTGTATCGCGCCCCCGCTCACCTCTCACCTCCACGCACGCACGCATGCACGCGCGCACGCACGCAGAACGATACCTACGCCCTGATCATCGACGAGCACCAGCGCCTGTCGGCCAATGGCAGCGACTTCGTCGCCCCGGCCGAGCCGGAGCCCGTCTCGAAGGACCGTCGCCGCGGTGACGCCAACGTCATTGGCCGCAGCTTCCACGCCATCGCCGGGGCCATCTACCACGAGCAGGGCCACCAGGGCGTGCGCAACTTCGCCAACAAGTTCATTCTCTCCCGCGTGACCGACATCGGTGCCGGCATCTCCATCCGCAACCCGCGCCTGGTCCTGGAGGCCTTCTGCAAGAAGTATGAGCTCGAGACTCCCACCTACCAGTACGTACATCCACGCGGGCACACCTGCGCGTACGCAAGCACCCACCCGGACACTGACCCCCCTCCCCCCGCTGCACGCCCGCCACACACACACACACACACACACACACACAGGATCATCCGTGAGTCCGGCCGCGCGTCGCACCGCTCGATGTTCATGGTGGGTGCCTTCAGCGGCAAGCGCCTGCTCGGTATCGGCAACGCCCGGAGCATTGACGTGGCCCAGATCGTCGCCGCGAAGAACGCCCTGCGCGCGCACTTCCTGGAGCAGGTCCAGAACCCCCTGCAGCTGGAGCTTGGCCCTGATGCCTCCATCGAGGAGTGGGCCCCCGCTCGCACCCCGGCCAGCGACTCCCTCCCCATCTCCTAAGGGTATTGCTCTGGCACATGCCCCCTCCCCCCTCCCTCCCCTCTCTCTGTCCTCCTCCCTCTCTACACCCCCTCCCGACACAACACACACACACACACAAACACCTATCTTTCCCTCCCCCGCCCGTCAACTTCCTCCGTGTGTCTGCATACACGCATCCACCGCCGCCGCGCGGGTCGGAGGGAGGTGCTCGCCGCCACCATGACCCCCTCCTCCCCCCGCCTTCTAGACTCCCGCCATGTGCGCGCGACCCCGCGACGGCGGCGGTGGGCGCGCGTGCGCAGAGCAGCCCCCCCCCCTTTTTTAAACGCACGAAGACCAGCCCTTGTCCGCCGCGCGCCCCTTGCAGCGTGTCCTCTCTCCCCCTCCCCTCCCCCTCTCTTTAATTGCCCTTCAATATAAACCTCTGCAAAAGAAAAGGAAAAAAAGGCGACGTGATGTGGCGCGGCATGTGCCCACCCTCGCCAAGCGATCGAAGGGACAGGGGGGGAAACGCTGATGCCAAGGGCAGATCACAACGGGGAGAGAGGGATTATATTCAGGGGGAGTACTACGCGGCGGGGCAGAGGCCGGAAGGTAAGAGGGTGGGGGGGGGGGACGCGGGGGAGAAAGAACAGATGTGAAATTGGTTCCTCTCTCCCTCTTCCGGGGGGGGGGGGGATATTTTGTCTCTTATGTTCGATCTCCTTCCGCCTGCTCCGCGCACGCGCGCGTGTGTGTGTGTGTGTGTGTGTATGTGGGTGCAGGTGTGCAGCCACCCCCCACACGTGCACAGACTCTCTATTGCGGGAGGGGCGCGGCAGGGGGAGGCAGGCCACAAGGGTGAAGGGAGCACATCACTTACTTGGCGGCGGGCTTAACGACGTACTCTGTTGGAGGAGACGGGGGACGGGCGTGTCAGCAAAGGCACGTGCGAGGGGCGGCAGAGGTAGGGCGAGTGTGTCCGCAGCAGGGGGACGCGCGCGACATGCGAGGAACACGTACTGGGGGGGCTGGCGACGCCGTTCTCCCAGGTAGAGACACGGAGGGTGGTGGCCTCGCGGCGAGCGACGTTGGCAGCGTGGCTCTCCTTGAGAACGGAGCGCAGCGCGCGAGCGCAGAGCTGAGAGTACTGAGCGTAGCTGTGGGGGAGAGGGGGGGGGGGGCGGAACACGGTTAACGGGGGAGGGAACATGGGCGGGCGAGCGAGCGAGCGAGGGGAAAGAGAGAGAGAGAGAGACAGTGATGGGGAGGAAGGGCGTACTTGAAACCAGCAGCGCGCCAGCCGATCATTGTGACAGGGATGTGGCTAGGGGGCAGGAGGGAGGAAAGAGACAGCGTGAGTAAGCTCATGGGGGGCGAAGAGAGGGGGACGGGAGAGGACAGCAAGGAGGGTATGTGTGTGTGCTTCTCCAGGGAGAGAGGGAGAGAGACACTCCGAGGAGTTGAGGATGAATCCGGCCATCCTGCACATGCGTGACCCAGCAGAGAGAAGGGCGTCTGGCGCCAGCGCCAGGCGCCACAAGCGCTTTCGCCCGCATGACGCACACGCGCGTGAGGAGGGCACAGAGCCGTCAGGCGGCGGCGGCAGCAGGCAATGGCGCTGGCGGACAACAGCGAGCAATGAAGGCAACAGGGACAGCGGACGCGATGGGCTCAGGGGGGGGGGGAGGGGCGGCGACACCGGCAACCGGTGGGGAGAAAGAGAGAGGAAGAGGAAGAGGGGGAGGGGGGAGGGAGGTGGAAGTACAGTAGAGAGGGGAGAGGACAAAAAGAACGATCCAAACAACTCTTTGCTGGGCCCGCCTGCGGAGGGGCCCTGGCCGGGGTCTCATTTTTGCCGGGCCGCCCTCGCGCATCGCAACTGCCCCCGCCTTGCCCTCCCTCTCTCTCTCTCCCGGCCTCCCTCTTGCTCGGGCTTTCGGTGTTTCTCTTCGCACGCACACATTCTCCCTGTTCCCCGCCCCGGAGGGCGCCGCGGAAGTGGGGGCGGGGCAGGGGGGGCAGGGGG